CTTTTTGTCTATATTTGTAAACATTTTCAGAAAAGTTTTAGCGTTTTCTTTAAAAACAATGTTATCATTATACAATCTTCAACCCGACAATTTTAGTTATTTCAATGCGAATAAATATTCTACTTACCTCCAGGAATAGCATCCATTTTACAAAATTAAAATTACTAATTTTTTCCAGAAGTTATGCACTTCTAAAGTATACGTTTATTTTCGTACTGACGCACACGACACGCTGCTCAAACAAAAGCCAACTTTGAATTAAAGCATAGACTCAAGTACAAAAGATAGACCCTTCTCTCTTTTGCCATTTAAAGGCGATTTTTGGCGATCGTATGGTACATGTACTAAAGTGTACCAAACTATAATTTGAAGTCACTCGAACTATAGTTTTGTACACTTTGGTATATGTACCATACGATCGCCAAAAATCGCCTTAATAGGCACATTGTTACTGTAGCCACCTCAACAGTTAGAATTCTCTAGATCAAAACTTTATTTTTGGGGTTTTGACCACGTTTTTGAGATTTTGGACCACTGTGAGCCGTGGCTAGTCGCGTATNTTCGCAATGAGAGGCACGAGGCCCGAGAAAAGGAGACGCACGAAGTCCAAATATGGGCATAGATGGTCGAGCGTCATTATGCGCAGGCGCATCTACCAAGTGAGTGCGAGCGAGACAAAGCATTGGAAAGTGAAAGAAAGAACGCGAGAAAGAGAAATGCGCAAGCGTGCTTGAATGTGTTCACCGCATGCGCACAAAGCAGCTGGAGAGAGAGGCTACTATATTGTCTGCACCGTAACATTGAGCTTCAGGTCGGCACCGTACTAGCCAGGGTTGTTTTGCCAGCGGTTCAGCATCCTACTATTTAAACTCGTGCACATAGCACAGAATAGAACCGCACGCTGTGGACATAGCGCACCGACATGTCGCTCGTGGACTGGCTGCGTAGTTCCAATGTGTACCACTCGTGGACATGCGCTAGTTTATGGGGCGGAAAAGCGATTACACATTCTCTTAGGCCTGTTCTACAATACAGTCGTAAGCTGTAAGTCGTAAGAAATTGATCAATCACAGACAAATTACAGAAGAATAATTGATTGTGATCGGTCAATTTCTTACGACTTACGGCTTACGACTGTATTGTAGAACAGGCCTTAAGGGTCGTCTACAATGGAGAGTTGTAGGCCGTAACAGTAAGAAATTGACAAATCACAATCGATTATTCTTCTGTACTTAGTCTGTGATTGGTCAATTTCTTACTATTACAGCCTACAACTCTCCATTGTAGACGGCTCTTTATGGACCTGGCCGCTCTCAGGGCGATGTCCCATTGAGCGGAAATCTATAGCGGAACGGAATGTGCGGAACCGGCTCGACCAATCATAGCCATTCTGTTTTCTTTCCTTCGCTTTTTCTGTGGTTACGATTGGTCGAGTTGGTTCCGCACATTCCGTTCCGCTATAGATTTCCGCTCAATGGGACATCGCCCTCAGGCTTCTCTCTGGTTTTTAATTCCTATTCCTAAAGCCTGTTCTACATTGATTGCAAGCGCAAACGCAAGGAACTCTCGCAAGGTCTGGTAGAATTGGGTGCGTTCAGACAACTCAACGGTTGAGAGATCATCACTTATGATAGGACTATTCTTCGAAATCTAATTCGGTTCCAAAAGTATTATCCAATCAGAAGTGATTATCTCTCAACCGTTGTGCAACTGTTGAGTTGTCTGAACGCACCCATTGACTAATCGTTTTGATCAAATCAGCCAATTGACCAGCGTGATTGGTCAATTCTACGAGATCTATTCCTTGCGTTTGCGCTTGCGATCAATGTAGAACGGGCTTAATATTTTCTCTATTGTGCTCAGGCCCTAACTCCCCCCATACATCTTTTTAACCTCTATTAATTTGAGCGAGCGGCCGTGAGCGTTGTGTTTTGATGTGTCGTCCTGTTATTGTTCAGTATTATTCAATATTTTAGTCAATATTTTTATATCTGTATATCGTGGATTATTATACTAAAATTTCACTTGTGAGCTACAAGTATATAACTATAAATAACATTTGTTAAACTTTAATAACTTAGCGTTTAATCTAATTTCAAAAATCATTGTGTACAAACAAAAAACTTAAACTAAGTTGTATTACAATGACACCGCCGATGGAAAGAATTAATATTTTAGAGACTATCGAAAAAGATATCGTAGTATGTTTGCAAAGTGCAGGTAATTTTACATGAATGCATTAAAATATAAATATAACTGTGTATTTAAAGATATATATATCTAAATATATATATTATATATGTGTGTGTGTATATATATATATATAACAATAATGTAATAATGTAATATAATGTATATAATGTATATATGTATATGTATATAATGTATATATATATATGTATATGTATATAATGTATGTATATATATACATATTATATACATATATATATACATTATATGAGTTTGATCACAGTATATTGCACATTATATAGGACAAGCTTGCATGGAACTGAGTAAAGAAAAAACAAGCTTGAAACAGGCAGAGACAAATACACACCAATTTCTAAAAACTTTAGGACAGTTGGAATCTAGATTGAGTGAACAAATTAATTATCTTACCCAGGTTTCAACTGGTACGTATCTTCTTTAATTTAATAATGGTTGTCAGTCAGGAATTGATCTCGGGTTCAGAAGTAAATAATTAATAAGTTCAGGAAGAATAGGCGTTACTAAACAAATTGCCAGGTTTTTTGCAGTTGAATTATATTTCAAATCGTTACATACGTTTCGACTACATTTTGAGTCTTCATCAGTGTTCTTTAACCAAACACATTTATGTTTTTATTAGATGACATGAAATTAGTGAAAGTAGAATTAAATGTTAATGTTTTCAAGTCAAATGGGTTGTCCAAACAGTTTTTTCTGAACTTATTAATTTTTTAATTTACTTTGTTTTCATCAACATGTATTTCTAATACTATATTTATAGGTCAGCCGCATGAAGGTTCTGGATATGCAAGTCAAAAAGTATTACAAATGGCATGGCATAGATTAGAACATGCACGAAGTAGAGTCAATGAATTAGAACGTATCAAAAATAAACTACGTTAAATGTAACTTTTCTTTTAACATGTACATTTTAAGAAATATACTATCAATGTTACATTTTATATCAAGAATGTCTAATATAAATATAAATATTAAATGATTAGTTGTTTATATGATTTCCTCTAAATAAATCTTATATGCTTATTTGTGGTTCTCATTGTACCAATATTTTTAATTTTTATAGGTATCTTATTTTTATTGTAATTTAATTATCTGACAATATAAATTGTTCACTTCATACTTATTTTTATTACAAATTTAACTATTAATTATTATATTTTTATTTTATATAATATGTTTTACACAAAATATTATCAAACAATTTTGTAATAGTTTTTTATTTTTAAACTTTCATTTCTGTATATAGTATGCTAAAAAAAAATACATAAATATACTTTCTCATGCATTATATCAATCTTATCACATATACATACATGTAGTAAACTTTATAAAAACATTCCAATAACACAAAATATATTATACATTTTTCACGATTATACTATTTTGCACATATGTATATATAAAATAAATGTTATTAAAACTTGAATTCAAAACTTTTCTTGATTGTAATTTTTAGCGTTATTGCCACTTTTATCCATCTATAACTCCCATACTACGTTTTACTGTAGCAGCTAATGAAAGTCGCGATCTTCTTTCTTCATCTAATTGTTTTGTTAGTAGTGACATTTGCGATTGTAAGTCTGTCATTTGATTTTTCAAGGTTTTAACCGTTTCTGTTAATGTCCTGTAAAAAGAACATGTTAATAATTGTATACAATACATTAACACTATAGAAAAAAAGATATGTATATGTACACTCGATGTTGGCTACAAGAATATGCAATAAAAAATAGAACGTTTCATTTAAAAAAAAACAATGTGACTTTGATCTGACCTTGACGACGTTACCCAACCTGTTAACATCACTATATACATCACTTTATACTCTAACTTTTGTTTCAGACATTTTTATAAAAAAAATGTATATTTCCGAAAAATTCAACCAGTCCGGAACATATGGGACACCCTGTATATATATATATATGTGTGTACATACTTTGCAAAATATAAATATTTATGTATTTACCTATCATTATAAGATTCCCAGTTGCTTCTATTATGTGTAAATGATATCCTATCGCGTGATTTTTGTGACTCACAATCCAACATTGCTGAAAAATAAACACTTCCACAAGTTTACAAATAATTCATTTTTGTCAGATTAATATATATTTTTAATACAGAAACTTACAATTAGATTCTCCAGAATGTACAGTAAATCTAGCATTGACGGAAAGACAATAACCTTCTATTACTTTCAATATAATCGCATCTTCTTCAAACTGTCGCTCATCTACAATGTAGAAAGAAGTAATACGATGGAAAAAATAGAGAATTTGATCATACATATGTAGATTGAACATTTGTTTGATACATGTAAAAATTTATATCTTACTACATGATCGTGGTAAGCGCGATGTATCTGTGGTGGTATCTACTTTTCCAAAATTTTTAGTAGAATATATAGGAGGTGCAGGTCTCAATGATGCAAGACTCCAAGGTGTCTTAATCCCTGGAGACATAAAATGCTCCACTATCTGTCTTTGATTTTTCCCGTTTAGGCTGCTGGTCTGGCTGTTCATCTGCTACACAATGTAAAACACCAATACGTATTTATAAAAGTATTTAGTTTAATGAGTTTAATTCGAGTCCTTTCTTTTCATGTTCATGCATAAAACTGTCTCTGTTAATATTTACTATATTTTGTGAGTTGTTACATGTATTTTTATGTGAAAATTATTTTATAAAATATATTTTATATGTAATAATCACTTTATAAGATATAATTTTATTAAAAAGCTATATTTACTCTAGATCAAGACTAACTGATGAAATAAATAATCTGTGATATTTTCAGAGCTATTCTATATGTATTGTGTTAGTAAAGCAATAGCTTACTTCACACAACATGGCTGTGAAATAAGAGAGCATTTGATGAAGAAGTGATAATTAGTAAAAGAACACCATTACGGTTAAAAACATAAAATTATTAAATAAAACAGCCATGCTATGGAAGCTTGCCTTGATCCGTGCATCCAAATATCGGAATAGGTTTCTTGAGCCACCAATGAGCATATAATCCAGATGAATATACTTGATTGGTCGGTTCATCGTGTTCTTCTATAATCGGTTTGATTGGGCGAACAACGCGTCTACTGACTTTCTTAATTACATTCTTATGCGCGTACGGTATCGGTTCCGTGTATCTTTTTTCGGGTACATTTCCATAATTTATCAAAGGGTGAATTAATACAGCTTTGTGAACTTTTTCCCCACCATTGGTGGAATCATTATCGTTGTTACTATGTTTCGTAATACTACACTCGATAATATTTTTGGACGATGTTAGAGAGTGAGCACTATCCCGAGGTGTTGAGCCGAAGGGCGAGGTGCAGATACACTGATGTTCGAACTTATTCTCATCGTTATCGCTCTCGCTATGAGATGTTCTTACAGGATCTGTATATTTAGTGTGGCTAGATGCGTATGATTTGTAACAAGAATTAATTTCAAACGAATTCAAGTGATAACTTTCAGCCATTCCCGAATCTGACGATCGTAAACTAGTATTTGCGCATGTTTCTTGAAATTCTCTCTCGACGCTATTTGTGGCGAAATTTGTAGAATGTTGAATTAGAACGTTCGTCGATTTCTTTGGACGAAACTCAATCGCTTCCAAATAATTTGCTGTCAAACCATTGCCCTGTCCGTCGTGCGAAATCTCCAAACGTTCCCGACAAAATTCGTTATAACGTGTTTGAAGATTCGCCACGTACGATTTACTTGATGCAAGGGGAACATTCGGCAGGATGTGACTCATTGTCGCGTTAACGGGTAAACTTTTACTAGTTTCGAAGGTAGAACGATCGTCGACTCTCGATGCGAAATTCGTGAGCGAGGAAGTGTTTGCCAAACCTACCGTAGTAAGATCAGTATTATCTACTACGTATCTAACATCCAATATCAGCGAGGATTTGCGCAATATTCGCGGTTCTTCCTGCACGTTACTATCATTTCCTACAATTATATCCAATTCCGATTCTTCGCTACTGCGAGCGGGGAAAATAGTATACGTCACGTTACATTTTCTCATTTTTACATTACTGAAATCCGGCTTCAGCACGTATTGTATGTACAGTAATCTCTTCATTAATTCGGGATATATGACTTTTCTTCTCACGAGTTTCGCAAAATACCTCGAGAGTCGCGCATACGGAGGATGATGACAACTCACACGAGACATAGTCGGTAATCTCAGAAGATTAATGCCTTGTTCTTGAATCAAGAGATCAATCCAACGTTGTCTATCCTCTCGCGTAGCACACAACACAACAATGCTCTCAATCATCGGTCCTGCAAAAATATTCATATTGTAAAATAAAATTTTCTTTATTTTTGGCAAAACAAATAAATTATGAGAATACATATTTACAGATAGATATTCATGATACGTACCGGTAATTTCCAGAGCATTTCTTATTTCATCTGTATCGTCGATTACAGTTATATTAATACCAGTTAACGGGAGTTTTCCCTATACAAAAATAATTTATGCAATGGTATAGACTGAAACTTTTATATAAATTTTATTTCTTGATTATTTGTGAACTCTACCTCATAAATAAAAGAGCTCATCCTTGGACTGGTACTGAGCACCAATAGCGTAGTGGGAAACAAAACGAAATATCTGTCTCTACGATCTACGCCAGTTGCTAAAGTTACCGACCCAACGTGAAGAATCTCGCCCAATGAGCTCAACTCTTCACCTTCCCAACCTTTGATTCCGCTAGTTAATATTTGGAGTGCTAATTCACGCTGTTTGCGTATAAAGGCGCAATAATCCTGTAAATAAATCAAAAAACAAATTTGAATTATATGTAAAACATTGTGAATTATAATATGTAAATGATTATCATACCGCAATTTCTCTATACACTGCTATGCTACGTTGAGTATCGCCCCTGTCGGGATGATTTTTTTCGGTGTACCTTTCTAATTCTTGAAGCATAGCAGAATATTTATCCAATCTTCGGAACGGTTTGCTAAGACCGGTAGTTAATACCAATATGCCAGGTGGTATTGCTCCACTATGTTCCATAAATTCATTTAATTCATCTCTAAAACAGTCATGTAAGAGTTAATATTTTTAACTTGTGCATTAAAAAAAAAATCCTCTTAACAAATCATATTTTTTTTTTAACTACCTGTATCTATCTAATATACAAACAGCTTGTGGATGATTATTACAATATGCAATGTGAATCGATTTTAGCCTTGATGCAATAGTTAGAAAAAGATTTCCTACTCTTGCGGACAATCCTTGTAAAATGGTTGCTTCTAAATTTGCCAGCAAACATTGATGAGTTTCCAAGATTTCATGAATGTTACCAAGTAACTGCTTATATTCATCTTTTTTTAATCTACAATATAAGTTTCCAAATATATCACATACAAATGTATAAGTTCTTTTTAAGTTACATATCTTTTTATACGTAACTTACATAGATGATGCTTCAAGAGGCTGTAAAAAATTATTTACTAAGCCTTGCAATTCTGCTACATTTACTCTTTCAGAATCAACAATATCCTTTAATACTATATCACGATTAAGTTTCTGATACGCAGGTGATTCCTGTGGACTTCTGTCTGGAGATGTTTTAATTGATGCGTGGCCATCTGTGTGCATATTATTCATTAGAATATACATACGTAAATATTTTAAAATATAAGATATGCTAAATATTTAAGAGAATTGAAATATATTTTAAAATTATGCGGATAAATTTAAACTAGATTTAAATCTTAAAGATATACCTGGAACTCTGTATTCTTTGACATAATTTGAAGGAAACCAACCAGTCTTGTCATGTAAAGTACCTTCCCACCAACCTTCGTCATCTATCTGAGTTATTGTTATTACATCTCCTTTTTTAAAACATAACTAAAAAATCAAGAATGTTATATTTTAATTAAAAAATATATTTTATATTAAGATTACTCAGTTATAATACTCGGACATCACTTTTTGTACAAGAAAAGTTTCATTTACTATTTTTTTTTTTTTTTTACATACTTCGTCGTTATTTTTTCCTTTGAAGGAGAAGAGCGCTATGACAAATTTTGGTGCATCGGGCTTCGACATAATTTTCATTCGATCGTTCGTATGAATCGTGAACAAAACATTGAAGGCTAATTCCAAATTTGCATCTCCCTTGTATCGTTTTCAATGAAATCGTTGAACCTTTAAACGTAAGCTTAATTTATAAACAGTCTTTGAGAGCAAAAAACGCACTTGTTTCGGAACGTAACGCAGTTTGTATTTCTAGCACTTTTCCTGTTTCGAAATACCAAAAGAATACAAAGAATTTTGTCGCATATTTTTGCATGAATATACTTGGTCCTGTCACGAAAAGACGCACAAATATGATAAACTATAGTCATGTATATAGCGACGTGCGACTATATTATTCTGCCAAGAGTGCCAAGTTTCCTTGATAGACTTGCGTCTATAAATAAACGCAACTACTGCATCACGTGATCTCGTATTACAAACCGACGATAACATTTGCGTGACCATGAGCGTATTTTCTCCGCGGTTAGTTCACCGCTAAAAGTATTATTATGCATAAGCGCACAAGGAAACAAGAGATGCATTGGAGAGAAATTCTATTAATATTTAATTATATCTATGTGTCAATTTATTTTAAATCTACGCATATGTATGTCGATTCAAGTTTCCCGCCATTTTGTAACTTGCTGCAGCGTGCGCGTCACATCGGTTTGATGTGATTGACCAATGTTATTAAAGCGTGTTATTAATATTTATTCAATAAGCGTGCAATTGTTTCAGATTTAGATAAATAGTATTAAACAATCAAGATTAATCTTTTTTCCCATATATGACATTTTTGTTTTGGCAATAAAAATAAACATGGTTAGAGGTTATGTTAAGCACAAAGTAGAGCAAATACATATATGTAATACTCCTATATTGCTAGTACGGTGCCGACCTGAAGCTCAATGTTACGGTGCAGACAATATAGTAGCCTCTCTCTCCAGCTGCTTTGTGCGCATGCGGTGAACATTCAAGCACGCTTGCGCATTTCTCTTTCTCGCGTTCTATCTTTCACTTTCCAATGCTTTGTCTCGCTCGCACTCACTTGGTAGATGCGCCTGCGCATAATGACGCTCGACCATCTATGCCCATATTTGGACTTCGTGCGTCTCCCTTTCTCGGGCCTCGTGCCTCTCATTGCGAAGATAAGTTGGGTTGCATCAGCCGTACCGGTTGAATGAGCGTAGTTACGCTGCGAATATTTTTGGACAATTCTCGGTGTTTTACACCACTTTCTTTATTATTATCTGTTAGTTTAAACCAGTATACAACTCCGTGGCTAGGCGTCAGGAACCCAATCCACGGTTTTAAACCTATCATCAAAAAAGACGTAGAATGGCGTATGGACTAGCTTTGTAGGTCCACTGAGCCAAAAGAGCACCAAAAACCAACCAAACCTCATTGCGAAGATACGCGACTAGCCAGAATTGGTTTTTACTTACTACCACGCGATACACGGCCGTCTTTCACAGTGGGCGTGCCCATCTATGTCGGACTCGTGCTCAAGGTGTTATGACTACGATTCGAAGTTCCAACGTAACCGTCGTCACGGAAGTATCGTTTCTCGGTCTTCTTCAATCGACAACATAATTTTTAGATTTTANGCAAAGCANAGCGTATGTTTTGCTANAGTNGNCTTTGTATCTNCGTTCNGACATAGACTGGCGCTTTTGCCATAATATTCTTTATATATTCTTTTGACTTAGACTGGCGTATGGACTAGTTAGTTTCGGTCCAAAGAGCCATACTTGCACCAACCTTGCACCATGACTACGATTCGCCTTGTGGGAAGGAAATTAATTCTGGATTACATCCGAATTAATTTTTGGAGGCCCGATTAAGTTCGCCAATCAACCAATATACTCGGTTGAAAGGGACCGGCCCGGAAAAAATCCTTAGGTGGTGAGCGGATTCGAACTCGGGACCTCCAGGTTCGCAGCCCCTGCACTCAGGCCGCGAGACCACTGGGCCGGTCTAATAATCGATGGCCCTGTATATATGTCTATAGAGATTGAGTTTATATATACTAAATAAAAAGATATTCAGTAAAATACACTTTGCAGGAATAGACATAACTTTTAAAAATATTATAAGTCTAAAAAAGACCAATTTCGAAACCTACAGTAAAAGACTTCTCAAATTGTAATTTCTCATCAACTTAAAAATTTGATGTTGATGTACTGGATCTAAAAGTAAGAGCCAATCACGTTCGACTGTTACGAAGCGGTCCTTCTGTTGAACGCAGCAACGCCTCTGATGCAAAATTCGGGAACTACGTAGTGCTTCGTGCATAGTGTTTTGACAGGAAAAATAACCTTTGTGTCTACAATTTACAGTTTTAATACTTTCTCTTCCTGCAAGCGTTGAAAGTGTTTTTTAATACTTTTGTAATATTCTTACAAGTTCTATCTGGCGCGCCAAAGTGTGTTTTGTGACATATAAACTTTTAAATCTCTAGACATACTTGATAATGGGTGCTTTCCAACTACGTACATACAGACGGCGTCAAAAATTCGCGGAGTTGGCGCGGGGATCGGAGGGCAAGCGGGGCGGTTGCTCGTAGCGCCAACGGGCGCCGTACTAACTAACTAGTAGCAATCGGGTGTCCACAACTACGTCGTGTCGATAATGTAACTGCTCTTTCTTTCTAACCGCCCCGCTTGCCCTCCGATCCCCGCGCCAATTCTTCGAATTAATGACGCCGTCTGTACGTGGAACCGAAAAATAAGAATTCATTCATGAAACTTCTTCCTCTCATAACTTCTAAACAAACAACGACCGCGGCCTAAAACCTTCATATTATTACTCGGGACAATGACCTTGACAACATATGTAAAAATTATTGAAATCGGAGGTGGCTCCCCCCTATTCTACATAATTACCTTTAAGATTACCATAAAACCATAATATGTTTTTTCTTTAATATCCTACAATTTTGATAATAAATGTTTTTCTTTGTCTCTAATCGTTTTTCGAGAAAAACGTGCTACCCATTTTAACAGACTTAGGCCTGGTTTATGCGGGCAATAACTGTTAACTTATGCCGGAACCGGTAGAGTTTAACTATAGGATTCCAATACTTCTGTTTATACGCCTTCGGCAATTTTGTATAAACAGAAGTATTAAAATCATATAGTTAAACTTTACCGGTTCCGGCATAAGTTAACAGTTATTGCTCGCATAAACCAGGCCTTATCTCCTGTATATATCTTAAATATCTTATATTTAGTTTATAATTATTTGAATGAGTATTACATCAAAATTAATGGGTAATTATTTACATGAAAGGGGAGATGCAGGGGATGCAGCCCTCTCGCCTACAACACAAACAAAAAGAACAACATGAAAAATAAAGTGTGATCGTAAGATAAATTTAACTCAAGTTTTTTGTAAATATTCTCGAAAACTATGTTCAGAATGTTGACTTTAACGACATATTTCAAGGTCGTCAAAATCGGTGAGGCCCTCCCTAACGTAAATAATTACCAATTAATGTAGGAAAAACGAAAGAATAAATCAAAATGGAATGACTTTAATCGTTCTTGTTTTTACTGGAAATACGCATTTTCTTAGAAGACACAAGCAGAGGATAAAAGAATCAAATATTATCATTGATTAGAATTTCCTTACGTCAAATGATGACCACACCAATACGCTTTAGGCAACGCCATGCCACGCTAATGCTATTGAAGATACGAATAGGATGAGTATGTAATAACAGAGAAAGGAGGAAATGCTACGCAAAAGGAGAAGGGCAGCGAGGAAAGGGACGCGGACGGAGATAAAGCGAAGTTGACCCTCGCCCCTCAATGACCTGTCAGTGTTATCGTACATTAAATTCCCTAACGTAAGCTCTTCTCAACCAGTCCAACGCAAGTGACAACAAGTAACGCATTTCTCAGTCGGCCACAGACCACATGCCGTTCATCATTGTTCTCCAATGATAAGAACATCTTAAAATTAGTCAAAGAAAATCCCCAGTGTTAATTAGGATTGCAAAGAGTCATAAATCAACAATAATATTAACCACGTAATTAACATACGAATTCGTTGGAATACATGGTGCTTGTATTGTGATATTAATTTCAATTATATTAAGTCGTATATATTAGCTGAGAAGAAAAGTTAAAACAATATGAAGTACGAGTTGCATTTAGCTCGATTCAAAATGCGAGCATACGCAATCTTTTTGGTAGTGTGTTGCTTCCTATGTTTCCTAAGTGTGTGTGCAAGTGACGAGCCAAAAGTTAATACTTCAATAGGTACGATACCTGTCTTACTTAATATAAACTTTGGCAAGGTAATAGAGTTTTGTGTGTTCATCAAACCAAATATTATATAAGCAAGAAATCACGTTTTCTCTAAATGATTTTTTTTTCTTGCTGGTATAGCCTTTTATTAATTACTTAAACATGACTTGTATTCAAACTGGAAAACTACCCAGTAAAAAATTTTCCATGTATAAAATTTTATGGACATATTCGGTATATATAAATTTGTATAATTAGATATAATAAGTTTAATTTGTGTATAATTATATATGATTATATATCAAAAATTTTTTTAAATATGGTAAAAATATAGTTTTATATACTTTTTTTGTATTTAACATGATACTAATAGAGTTATTTTGTAATTTGATATGGAATATCTCTGAAGCCATTCTCTTAAAAAAAGAAATTCTCCGTGTATAAAATTGTATGGACATATTCGGCATATAAATTTGCATAATTAGATATAATTATTATAATTTGTGTATAAGTATATATGAAAAATTTTTTACCGGGTATATAATCCTAATGATTTTTTTTTTAAATAAATTCATACGAACTTAAGAAGTAATTAAAAAAATTATGCAAATAAAACTGTGACGAATGGTGCTGATCGTTTCACAATATGAAAATACGGAAATACTAGAACTGTTTACCACGTTATTTTTTACACAGAAATGATTTATTCTTCTTACGCAATATAATAAAGTCCAAAGAGCAATCTCGTAAAACAGCATTTATTTATAATTAAAAATATTGTGTGAAAACTCTTACAAGTTTATTTCATTAAAAATAGTTTTTATTTTTCGTTAAAAGTTTTTCAAAATGATAATGTTAAAATTAGGAGTCTAAAAATTTGTTTTAACAAATTTGTATTATATTTATTTATTGACGTTAAACATGTCATTACATAATATTCGCTTTATTAACGGCTTATAACATATCTTAGACAAGAACAAAGCAGCTCAGATGGCAGCGGGCGAGGAACGGCTCGGGGATCAAATTCGTGCCATCCTCAAGCATTATCAGCAAGACGATCCGGTTGGGTTGCCCGGTGTACCGATACCAGATCCGATGCCAGTGCCGGATATGAAGCATTCGTTTTCTATATATACAATGAATTTTAGAAACATTAGCGTTTACGGACTGTCCAAATTCCGTATTGATCATGTAGAGTCAGAACTAGCTCGTATGCAGGTAACTTAAAAGTAAAAATGAAATATATAAACCCGGTAAAAAATTTTTCATGTATAAAATTGTATGGACATATTCGGTACATAAACTTGCATAATTAGATATAATAATTTTAATTTGTGTATAAGTATGTATGATTATATATATCAAAACTTTTTTAAAAATATAGTAAAAATATAGTTTTATATCATTTTTTGTATCTAACATGATACTAATAGAGTTATTTTGTAATTTGATATGGAACATCTCTGAAGCCATTCTCTTAAAAAAGCAATTGATTGGTAAGTAACGGGCTTTCGAACCGGTTGCAAGGTATTATGCATTAAATTTTTTTGTAAACGATTTATTCCAAACGTTTCGACTTTATTATGTAGTCATCATCAGTGGAATATAACCAAGATGCAACATTTCTTTGTTCTGACGAAAAAGTTGTTGTTCTTATCACGTTATCGTCAAGACTCTTAAAAAAGAAATTCTCCGTGTATAAAATTGTATGGACATATTCGACACATATAAATTTGCATAATTAGATATAATTATTTTAATTTGTGTATAAGTATATATAAAAAATTTTTTACCGGGGAGTATGTATATATTCGCTATGTAACTCGAACGTAGAACGTCAATAAGTTAGTCATTTAATCGTATGCGCCAGTAACAAATACTGATATTCCCAAAATATAAAATATGACGATAAGAACCATCGCAAGTTTCGTTCTGTTAAATTTAATCATTGAGTATAACGCATCAAGCAATTATCGAGAATTATATATCTTAAATAGAAACGTAAAGCAGACATTTGATGAAAAAAAAAAATAAAAATAAAGTTTGAACTTCTTAACACGAACGTACATTTCATAGAAAACAAAAAAAAAGATGCATTATATTTTAGATGACAACTAATACGATATCACAATATTGTGAAAAAATGTAAATGGGATGCAATAATTGATACGAGCGCGCATATAATTTTTTTTTTTAATAGATTAAAATCTAGTTTTTAATTAGTTATTTTAACGAACAATATAAAGTATAAAAATACATACTATATTTTCCAATATTACTATATCTTGTTACGCTAACATGATGTTTAGTATTTATAGTATTTGTATTTTTGTGAGTAATATTTATTTAATTTTTCTTGTAAAATTTTCTTGGAAAATAAAAACTAATAACTTTTGTAAGGTTACTGTCGCAGTAAAAATCGATACTCTCGATATTCGCGGATTGTACACTCTGACGTCGTGGCTTTCAAAATCCGCCGGCAATTTTACGGTGAAACTCACCGGCGTGAATGTCGAGGGTATCGCCAGACTCGAAGTTGCCACCGATGGTAAATTGCAGGCCCAAAATATCGACATGGATCTCACTTTTAATAAAATTGACCTCGACTTCACGAATTTAGGATTTCTAGGTAAGAGGGAGAGAGAGGAGAAAACTATCGATAGTCGTCATCATCGATAGTGTTCGATAATTTTGAACAAACTATCGATAGTTTATCGATAGTGTTCCATAGTGCTTTTGAAGTAAAATTACTTTACAGAAACTTTTGTTATATTATTTACTCCTTATTGTTTATATTATTATTTATTACTTTATTATTTATTTCTTAAGTAAAGTTATTTATAGAGAATTAGAGAGAAAGAGAAAATATAACTTCAAATATAATTAAATTTCCAAAATTCCATTTATTCTTCCCAGTAAAAAATTTTCCATGTATAAAATTTTATGAACATATTCGGTATATACATTTGCATAATTAGATATAATAAGTTTAATTTGTGTATAAGTATATATGATTATATATCAAAAATTTTTTAAAAATATAGTAAAAATATAGTTTTATACAATTTTTTTGTATCTAACATGATACTAATAGAGTTATTTTGTAATTTGATATGGAATATCTCTGAAGCCATTCTCTTGAAAAAAGAAATTCTCCGTGTATAAAATTGTACGGACATATTCGGCATATAAATTTGCATAATTAGATATAATTATTTTAATTTGTGTATAAGTATATATGAAAAATTTTTTACTGGGTTATAGGTACATAGACGAAAATATCATATATTTCTTTCTTTCAACTAAGTACGTCTCTCTGTGTGAGTTTTCCAGCTTCATACTAAAGATTCTTTCTTCTAGGATCGGTGTTCCAAGGTGTCATCAATTCCGTCGGCAGTTTTATTTTTGACAGCATAAAACCGTTTATATTAAAGGAAGTTAATACGAACGTAAGGTAAGACGTACTTTTTCAAAAATAAAGAGAACAAGAAAAGACAAATAAAGAATGTTGTATTTCAGAGGCGAGGTAAACAAACAGATATCGCAATTACCGCAATATTTTCCTAATTCGATTTCACCGTTTGACATGGCGGTTGCGGAAGCACGCAAAGAAGTATCACGGATGGGCTATGATCCGTATAGACTGAAGGATTATACGCAAACCATCGGTTTATTCACGGTCACCTCGTCGCATACTTGGATCACCGGTCTTGCTAGTTTTTACCGCATAGGAAATATAACAATAACCATGGAAAACGGAGTTGTAAGCAAACAAAACAAGTTAAATATAAATATAGATATTGAACAATAGTGATTAATAGAGATTACTCTCAGGCTCTCTATAGTTTTTAAATTAATATATGAATATAAGGTCATGAAGAGCCGTTCGCAGGGTGTTGTGCGGAAATGTGAGTATGTATATATATGAATGCATACATATATATATGTATATGTATTCACGTGTAATATTTTTCCCGTGAGTTTTTAGAATTCAAATTACATTCTTTAAATCATATAGGATGCTAATTTTGCGTCTCATATATGAAGGATCCCGAATACCCCCTGAATTTTTAAAATATTGCGAAAAAACTTCTCAGCCAGGAGTCGAACCTGGAATCTCCGGCTTTCCGAGCCGTCGCCTTCCCTGTTAGGCCACCGAGGCACTTGAAGCTTGTCTCGCAATACTTCGTACATCTATCAAAGATGGTCTGATACTTTTTAATACCGCTTCTTCCTCCAGCGTGTAAATTCAACAATAGTGATTAATAGAGATTACTCTCAATTCTAAAAACTCACGGGAAAAATATTACACGTGAATACATATATATATATATACATATATATATATATACATATATATATATATATATGCATTCATATATATACATACTCACATTTCCGCGCAATACCCTGCGAACAACTCTTCATGACCTTATATTCGTATATTAGTTTAAAAAATAGATATCGCTTAAAACGAATTTGACTATTAAATCGTGTAAACATAGCACGTACTACTAACGTACTAGGCGCAGTTCAATTATCATAATTGCGACGATCGCATAACGATTGCATAAAACGTTACGTAAGATATCACGATCGCAAGTCGATTCGGTTTTGGGATTTTGTGGGCGACGCGTTTGTTTGCTGCACCGTATTTATATATTCACCATACCCTTATACAGGTGTACGCGCTCCTAGATGTCGGTACTCAGGAGCTAGAAGGCAAGACGCACTGGGAAGTGAGCGTAATCGGCGGCGTCCTGTCTCGCTCTGGTACTGTATCTTTCACTGTGCAGTATTTGCGAATAGAAGTGAAACTTAGTCAGCCGCTAGATACGCGAAAACGTGCCGCTCTAGAAGAGCTGGAGCTCGAATTGGGTAACATCCAGGCGAGAGTACACGGCGCTGGCACATTCGACTACGTAGCTGAAGCCAGCACTAATATATTACCAAATCTCTTTAGGCAAGTCATATAATGATCGTTGCAAATTTGTAGTCTCTCGTACATTCCAACGCAACATCCGTAATTGGCGCTTTTCTGATTCGGATCGAATTACAATAAAGCATAAAAACGTATCTGACGTAACGAAATCGGTATTCTCAATTACATGCAAACATGTTGTTGTATATTTTCTTGTGTTTCTTCTGCTAATGCGTTTTTGATCTTGTAGATATCAAATTATGGATGCGATCGAAGGACCGCTGAAGAGACGAATACAAGAAGAAATAAACAAAATAAACATGGAGAAATTAATCGATGAGAAAATTCCGGAAATAGAGAAGCAAGCTAAGTGGCTGAAGGGATTAACTCCTGCGGAAGAAATAATCTTGGAAGAACCGGTGCGATTTCCGCAAGATCAAGACGATCAAGAGCCGTTCTCCGATAGCGAGGAAGATCGAGGACCGTCGTAGCGACGTACATTTCGTTACAATGATAGAATATAAAATTGAATTTGAATGATAATTTATTAAAATGTATAATTCGAATAATATAAAAATTACGAGTTTAGACAACTTTTATACAGTTGTCTTCAAAAAGTATTGGCACATTTTTTAAATTATCTTTATACACCTGGTAAAAAATTTTCCATGTATAAAATTGTATGGACATATTCGGCATATAAATTTGTATAATTAGATATAATAATTTTAATTTGTGTATAAGTATATATGATTATATATATCAAAAATTTTTTAAAAATATAGTAAAAATATAGTTTTATATAACTTTTTGTATCTAACATGATACTAATAGAGTTATTTTGTAATTTGATATGGAATATCTCTGAAGCCATTCTCTTAAAAAAAAGAAATTCTCCGTGTATAAAATTGTATGGACATATTCGGCATATAAAATTTGGATAATTAGATATAATAGTTCTAATTTGTGTATAAGTATATATGAAAAATTTTTTACCGGGCAGTGATGTGTGTATTAATACAAAATATGTCCAATAACATTTTATACGGAAGCAGTGTATTTTTCCAGAATTCTCAATATTGTAGTTAAAGCAAAAGAAACCAAAATTTTATACTCAAAAAAGTATTGGCACACTTGCGTTTTACTTAGAAAATACAAAAAAATTCTCTTGAAGTTTTTAACACTAGATATACCAGCTATTTAAATATACCTATTAAAAAATACAAAAAATATATTTGTTATATGAATATATATATAAAGTAACATTAAGTTCATAAAATGTATTCTCTACTTATAGCTACAAAAGTCACAACATGATTTCGGAAAGCAAATGTTACATGCGGTAAAAATTTTGAATTGAAATTGCACGACCAGTCAAAATGACTGGTCTGGTAAATCTAGTGTTAATCTTGCGTTCTGTAGTAAATTACCTCGCAACAAATCTGAACACATTTCTTCATAATATATAAACATAATAATAATTCCTTAAATTCTAAATGTCCAACTCCATGATAAGACATGCAACTAGGGTTGCAATCAAGCGTCCGAGGAAAAAGAGAACGAATAGCTATCCTCAGGGTAAAACGCGAGAGAGAGATAAAGTAAAATATTTAGAAGATTGCTTAAAACCTCGAACAGTCACCGCAAACACCTTCGGAAAATCCGCCCGGACGTCCCCGGGTACTGTAAAACAAAAAAAAAAAAAAAAGGCAGTGTCCGAGAAAAGAGGACGGATGGCAACTCTACGTACAACAAACTATTTTACATGCATTATTATTAAATGTGTGTGCCAATACTGTTTAGAGTTACTGTAAATGTTAGTAGAAAGAGGGACGAGAATTGTTAAAATATAACATTCAAAATTAAATCAAAATTACATCTGTATTGAAAAATATATTAACAATGCATATATAGATTATATAAATTAAAATGTACAAGTCAAGTAATGACACGGTGAAACATAAAGCGCTGAAAAATAAAATTCATAAAAAACTATGCGGAAATTCCATAAAAGTCGTCTCGGCACTGAAAATGGAACATGTGCGTAATTGTCGCTTGAACACAATTGTAATCGTTCGACTCAAAAGATGAATATGGAGCGTGTTACATAATATGCACGTATATATTACTATCTTAATTTCTAATGCGAGTGATATATCAATATCCCGCGTAGTTCGACGTATATATCGTTCGCACACAAATTTTATACAACTCACATTCCTTGCCAAAAAAAAAAAAAAAGCATTACGCAAACTAAAATTATATAAACACATGAGCTCTACATTTAACCTCACCGCAAGTTTTAATTATCTAAATAACATATAATAAAGCTAAACTAATAGTTACATAAGAATGACAACCTCTACAAAATATATTAGCAGTTATTAACTGTATTACAGCAAAATAAACTAAAACTAATTTTTAAAAACAAACTTAGAGTAAAAATTTTGAACACACTTTATATTTTTTTTAAGAGCCATCAGAAAATTAACAACATTACATTATGTTATAGTTCAATGTGTTTGTTCAATTTATACAATTCCATATATACTAAATACACCATATGTTGAAATAAAATGAACAAAAGTAATTCACGGTAATTATTGAGATAAAAGTGAGACCTAGGAATATTTGGACTTTAAAAAGTTTGTACGTGAGAATTTAAGTTTTCATATGTTACAAAACTACACACATTTATATATCCGATACATCGACCGTGATTCGCCCTTGCTAAACACAACTCAATTGTTTGCGATATTGATATTTTGTATATCGATCGATTGTTTACATTCAATAATGGTCCTTTACCAAAGAAAAACCGGACAACACAAATATCTGTCGTTGAAAATTATCATTGCGAGAATTATTCTGGAAATTATCCAAATCATCCAGAATTAACTTAAGCGTTTTGCGTTGTCCGGGATTGGTTCAACGGATTATGTGGCTTTGATAGCTGGTCGGTAGCTTCGCTGAATTGGCACAATACGCTCGCCCGGTGCCGGTAATGCCAATCTGGGCGCGGTGATGGTCAAGATACCGTCGGACGACAAACTGGGTTTCACATGGCCCATATCGTAGCCTTTGGGCAGCACGTAGCGACGTACAAACTGGCGCGACACATAGCCGTGTCTATCTTTTTTCTCCTCGTGCTTGCCTTCGACGGTTATGCACTTGTCATCGGTTCGCACGGTAATCTCTTCCGGTGCAAATTGCTGCACGTCCACAATCACCTGATATTTGTCTTCGTCGCGCTCGACCGTTGCCGATCCGCCCACCTGACTGTTTAAATTCTCGAAAACGTCACGCCACGGCCGAAACACGTTGTTGAACGACGGTATAGGCGGCATTCGCCACAGATTTTTCTCGCGCAGATCCAGGTCGCGGAAATGATTTTCTATCTCACGATGGTAACGATCCATATCCTCCCACCAATTGCGAAATACGTTTCTTGGTATCAGTGCCATGATTGTCTTCTGTGGGTTAATTAATTTTCAGTGATTATATCTTAAATTTTTTTGTTGCAAGTAAAATCAATTGTTTTCAATCGAAAAGTTTTTCGCGCAATAAAAATATTCCTAAATAACAATAAATTTTGGCTGTTGAAGCAATAACACTGTTGTTAGAGTGTAAACTTTTAAATCCGTTTATTAAACAAAGTAAATTAATTAATTAATTATTTAAATTTAGTTTTTAATTGTTTAATAAACGGATTTAAAAGTTTACACTCTAACAACACTCTGTTATTGCTTCAACAGCCAAAATTTATTGTTATTTGAAAATTCTTGAAGCTTCATACAATTCTTCATTTTTACACAAAAATATTCCTAAGAAAATAATTCTATTTATATTTGAAAAAAAAAAGAAAAAGATTATTTTTAAAAGTATTTAACAATAAAATATGAAAAAATAACAAGGTCTGTTTCGAGCTAATAGAAGATCTTAAAGATTTTTAATATTAAACAGTGATATCAGAGATATAGAATGATGTCAAAAAAACAAATTACAAATTGCAAATTTNCAAATTACAAATAAACGTTTCGGCTCTCACTTGAGCCTTCTTCAGTATTGATACAAAAATTACAAAAATTATTACGCCATATCGCAAAAGAACGTAGATGATGAATAAAACCTTACAATATGGAAGAGTCCAACATAGGATGTAATGTTAAAACGTAAACACTTCATCTTCGAAGTCAAGAATCAAACACAAGAGTGTTTGACAAAAATCTTTAAAATCTTCTATTAGCTCGAAACAGACCTTGTTATTTTTTCATATTTTATTGTTTTATATAAACGAGCGTATCTTATATTATATGTTTAATTTTAAAAGTATTTATTTCAACCAATAACAATTGTTTATGGAAACAATCAAGATTTTATTCTATACAGGGTGTCCCAGAATTGCCGTACAATTTCTCGTAGGCAGGTAGAAGAAGTAAAACTGAGTCGAAAAGTCCTGAACCATTTTTTTCTATTATTTATAATAAAAGAGTAATTATTGAGTAAATCAGGCCAATCAGCGCAGACCTTTAGCCAGGCGCACGTCAGTGAGCGCTCACACANAAAAAAAAAATGATTCAGGACTTTTCGACTCAGTTTTACTCCTTCTACCTGCCTACGAGAGATTGTACGGCAATTCTGAGACACCCTGTATATTATCGTATTACACTGCGTGTCCTACAGACGTATACAACAAAACGTCAATAAACAAACATCTAATCGACAAACTCTCTTTCTATAGTTGCGGCAAGTAAAATACTGTGATTTTGTGTCTCTCGAATAGAAATTATCAAACAAAAAAAAACAAAAAAAAATCTTCGTAATTTTGTTTTCACGCGATTTTGCGCAACTGTCTGTGTGTTATCACTAAAAAAAATCAATAACTCGCTTGACGCAACAAGTATGTAAACTAGTGTAAACACGAATCTAATACATACCTTGTTGTTTTCTTTAAAAAATCAACGATGCGTTTTTCTCAACACAGCAGATCGGAATACTCTTTTCCGCTTTATTTAAAATTTACTTGTCAAAGTCGCACAAGCAACTCGCTTGAGAATCGACGTAGCTCCGATCACGAAGTACACCTTATAACTGCGCAACAGCGGTTGGTGCGGTTGGTTTATATTTGTTTGGCGCCTTTTCGAGACTATTCGATCTACACATGCGCACAACAAGTAAAGGTGTTGTTTTTATCGCCACTCTTTTCATCGACTCGTTCTCGCTACTTCCAGCCGTTTCCGGTGACATCTCCCTGGCTCATATATGCCATTTTAGACCAAATCTAAGCGAATCCAGATTATACGTAAGAGAAATAAACAGTATCGCGATTTGAATAAAATGTATAAACCATAATTTCACACACGTCGTAACAGATTTACTTACGGAATTGGAATAGCATTTACTCTATTAATCATGAGATATGATTTGTTTTTGCAAATAAATACACTATTGTTTGATAAATTGTTTTTATTTTTTTTTTTAATAAAAATAATATATTTTTATTGTCTCTTGATTTTATCAAAGATCAGGCACATATATGTATTCAACAGCGATAAAATATATATAAAAAAGATTTGAGAAAACACTCAAAAATAAAAACAAGAGAAAATCTACCTCAAAGTAAAAAACAATTTACATTGGAATATTGTTATACAAAATAAGAGATAACTACATAAACACATTTTATATGTACACATATTTTGTTGCATATTGTTACATATTGTCTTTAAATAAATTAAATATATTTAATACATTTAAAGACACATATTTTGATATTTTTCACAGCTGTTACAATATGTAAGCGCATTAGTATCGAATGAGTCATCAAAAGCTTTTTTTTAAGCAACTGGAAGATGGCCAAGAAAACGCACTGTCGAATGCGTTATGCGCATTAGCGCGTATATATTTGTTTATAAAATATAATTCGTAAACATATTAATAACATTGGTATTAATAATATTAACATATTAATATTAATAACATCAACACATATAACAATAATATTAATAATATTAACATATCAATATTAATAACATTAACATATTAATAATTCGTTAATATAATGTTCCGTTTTTTTTTTTTATACCAATAGAGATTCGTGCAATTTGACTTCACGTATATCTTTGATCTATTTTGACTGAAATATGGCACAGTTTTCATACAAGCAGGTACATCTTTTTATCTCGAAAGTACTTTTAAGACAATTACAATTAGCTATTCTCTCTCCTGTAGACTCTCTTAAAAAAATCTACGAGTACTGTAGACTGGGTCTGTGAGGATCGCGCAACTTTAAGATCGAATATCTCCGCGAAAAATCAATATTTTTTTCATTTTTTGGTTCTTCGAATCGAAGTTTAAATGATTCTCTGTGTCGATCAAAAAACAAAAAAAGAAAACAACAAATTGAAAAAATACCTAGTAGTTTTAAAGATATAAGCGTTTAAAAAACTATTATAATTTTTAAACTAATAATATCTGAATACAAGGACGTTAAGAGCCGTTCACAGGATGTTGTGCGTGAATGTGCTATATATATATGTGCGTGTATGCACATATAAACGAATTCACGTTTTCACGTGTTTTTTGAATTGAAATTTCAATTCATAAAATCAAACTCCAAGTGCCTCGGTGGCCTAACAGAGAAGGCGACGGCCCGGAAAGCCGGAGGTTCGACTCCTGGCTGAGGAGTTTTTTTCGCAATATTTTAAAATTAGTTCGGGGGGTATATGGGGTCCTTCATACATGAGAGATGCAAGTATAGCATCCTGTATGATTTTATTAATTGAAATTTCAATTCAAAAAACACGTGAAAACGTGAATTCGTTTATATGTGCATACACGCATATATATATACAGGGTGTCCCAGAATTGGTTTAACATCTCTCGTAGACAGGTAGAAAAAGTAAAACTGAGTCGATAAGTCCTATATCATTTTGCTAGATTCGCAATAGTTACCGAGATTTTAATTAACAAAGATCCGCGAATAAGCGTGTATCGGGCTGTCTTACGCGCGTAGGACAGCCCGGCGCGATTCGCACAATTACATTTTAATATGTATATGTTATAGTATATGCTGTTATATTAGGTCGTCCCATATGTCGCTATGGGTAACACCGTTAGCGCGCGAAGCGCACTGGGCTGTCTTACGCGCGTAAGACAGCCCGATGCATGCTTATTCGCTGGTCTTTGTTAATTAAGATCTCGGTAACTATTGCGAATCTAGCAAAATGGTATATAGGACATTTTGACTCAGTTTTATTCCTTCTACCTGCCTACGAGAGATGTTAAACCAATTCTGGGACACCCTGTATATATAGCACATTCACGCACAACATCCTGTGAACGGCTCTTAACGTCCTTGTATTCAGATATTATTAGTTTAAGACTTATAGAGCCCTGAGAGTAATCTCAATTTATCATTAATTATCATAATTTTTACAAGAAACACGGCTTTTGACATTTTCAACTAGGTTTGAAAGACCCGTGACTTCCAGACGAAGGGTTAATCTGTAACTGGTTTTAGAACTTTGTACGGATTTAATATACCGTTTGGATCCATCAGTTTCTTTAGATCATACATCATAGCAATCTCAGAAGCGTTTTTGCTCATGTGAAGGTATTTAGTCTTCTTAAAACCAATGCCGTGCTCGGCACTGACGCTACCCCGATGTTGCGCTATGTATTCGAAAATGAACGGCTCCAATTGTGCGGCTATATCCTCATAATATGTCGGTATGGAGACTTGTATATGAATATTTCCGTCACCTGGAAGATAAAAAAGAATATTGTTTACAAATATTGAATATATATACATTTCAATCAAAGCTTTTTCATTGTCTTTTATGGAAAATATACCTAAATGACCATAACCGCTGATCCTAACAATACGAGGATCGCGTATTTGCTTTCGAAGGACCTCAACAACATCGTAAAAGTGCGAAAAAGGTAGAGATATGTCGTATTTGAAGACATAGCCATCGCGCAAGACACCCTCACTGATTCTTTCACGAAGTGACCATATATTCTGTAAATTATTATTTTTAATGTGAATTTGAATCAAAAGATATTTTCAGAAATAGCCCGGGAAAAAATGGATTAGATAACTAACTTAAATTTAACAAGATAAAAAAAAATGGAAAAATAGATCTAATTAGATCCAAATTAAATCTAAATAGATATAAAGTAGAATTTACTTATACATATATGTGTACACACATATAAGACATATTTTCCGCACAACATCCTGCGAACGGCTCTTTAAGACTTATTTATTCATTTATTAAGTTTAATAAACTTCATGAGTCCGAGGAAAAATCTTCAATTTAATATCGATTGTTAAGATATAAAGTAGATCTAAATAAATATAAAGTAGATCTAAATAAATATAAGCAGATCTGTTAAATTTACACTTTTATATATTATTTGTTGGAGTAAAACATTATTGGGCAATGCGAATTCCGCGGAACTAATATGTGCGCATGCGTTTCTTGTATTGACATCTAAACCAATGACATGTTGCCGTGTGATATTACTATCAATTGTAAAGATCGATCGTATCGATTACGTGTAATAACGTTCTAGTATATATATATAATCATGTATGGACTGACCGATTCCTACTTCCGGTTTCTTCTTCGGTGAACCACGTGTCATGTTACTATGTAATTACCCGCATATTTAACACAGAAACTCTCGCTATCTTTTGTAATCATAAGATAATACAGGTTTACAAAAATAAGATCTACTATAATTAAAACTCCTCAGATTTAGTTAGATTTGAGCGGATCTGAACAGATCTGAGGTGATCTAATATATAATAGATCCGAGTAGATCTAATAATAAATAAAAATGTAAATTTTTTCATAGATTTACTTATATTTATTTAGATCTACTTTATATTTATTTAAATCTACTTTATATCTATTTAGATTTAATTTAAATCTAATTAGATCTATTTTTCCATTTTTTTTTATCTCGTTAAATTTAAGTTAGATCTAATCCATTTTTTCTCGGGAGATTCTTTACCAAAAAAAAATTTGACTAACATATACAATCCTTCCAATTACGTACATTAACTTTTGTTGGTTCGTTAGTCAAAGTTCCATCTTCTATAATATTGTCATTAATTGCCTTCTCCAAGAACGAAGAGAGTTTCTCCTCGTCGTGAGCTACATTGCTACCGGAAGTTTCGATGAGCATATAGAATTCGTGGCCGTTTTTGCGAGTCAGTGGATTTTTCATATCTAAGTTGTTGACAGAAACGTCCATAGACAATCGGTCCATCATCTCGCAAGAGGACAGGATTTCACTTAATTCACGTTTTGCCAAGTGATATGTTTTCAACACTTTATCGAAGCTTTCTAATCCTAAAAAAAAAAATTATATAATCAGTATATCGTCACTCCCTACGTATAATCCCGTAACTCCAAAACGCAAATTTTAGAGGAGAGCAGTTTAAAAGTTTAAAGCTTCATATAGTTTCCCTAGTTAAGGGATCTTTCGGTTTTAAATTTTTACCATACTTATGAATATTTTTTTTTTAATACTTGGTGACCACAAAGAACATGACTTTCTGAGTGTCACTATGCAATAAACTGAAAATCCCATATGTGACACTTATGTAATTATACGTAGAGAGTGACGATATATAGTACGTTTATACGAATAAATTATTATATTTTTAGAGTAATTATATGTTTCGTGCTCGTTATATGTTTAAATAAAAAGATAAGGAGAAGGCAATAACGAGCTAGACCTGATGTTCAGGTAAAATTCTTCTTTATTCCGAGGATTTAATAAAGATACAAACTTTCGATCCACTATGGGATCTTCTTCAGTGTTTTCTAAACATAAAAAGAATTACAATGAATGCATCTGTTCGCGACGATAATGAAGAATACAGAAAAGATACGCTGCAAACATACTCGGTTTGAGGAAAAAAGAGAGGGGAAAGTGGCAACTAAAAAACCGAACATGTTTGTAGCGTATCTTTTCTGTATCCATGTTCTTCATTATCGTCGCGAATAGATCATGCATTCATTGTAATTTTTTTTATGTAGTGACACTGAAGAAGTAAAGTCAATCAATCGCTCGTGAAATAATCAAATGAGTTAAAAAGCCGATACGAGCAGTAAAATACAGGTTGGTCGTGTATAAAAAGTAGTCTTTGTTCAATTTACAGACGTTTCAGTCCCACAAGTTTGGACCTTCTTCAGTGTAAAAAAGTTTAAGTTCAAATACGAAAAAACGTTTTAGCTCACTACATCGCTACCAGATAAAACGAATGAAGTCAATACTAACTTGACGACAAACTACTTAGTTACACAGTATGTTGTTGTATTTACTTAGTTGCACAGTATGTTGTTGTATTTTGTCGTCAAGTTAGTATTGACATCATTCGTTTTATCTGGTAGCGATGTAGTGAGCTAAAACGTTTTTCTTATTTGAACTTAAACTTTTTTACACTGAAGAAGGTCCAAACTTGTGGGACTGAAACGTCTGTAAATTGAATAAAGACTACTTTTTATACACGACCAACCTGTATTTTAACAGAAATCAAATAAGGCTAATACGAGCCATTCGCAGGATGTTTGTGCGGAAACTATGCGTGTACATATATATATATATATATAAATGTAACGAATTTTACTTGTAAATTTTTACAAGTATTTTGTGAATTGAAATCTCAATTCTTAAAATCATACGGGATGCTAGATTTGCATCTCACATATAGAAAACCCCGGATACCCCCCTAACTAATTTTAAAATATTGCGAAAAAAACTCCTCGGCCACGCATAGTTTCCGCACAAACATCCTGCGAATGGCTCGTATTGGCCTTATTTGATTCCTGTTAACAATTTCACGAGCGTCAAGTCTTTTTAATTAACCTGTATTTTACTGCTCGTATCGGCCTTTTAACTCATTTGACACTGAAGAAGATCTCATAGTGGATCAAAACGTTTGTATCTTTATTAAATCCTCGGAATAAAGAATTTTACCTGGAACATCAGGTGTAGCTCGTTATTGCCTTCTCTCGATCTTTTTATTTTTAAATTATTTGACTTATACATGCGCACCTAGAAACGCGACATTTACAGTTTTCGGCAAAGATGGACATTGTATAGCTACTTTGGTCACGATTCCCAATGTTCCTTCCGAACCGATAAATAAGTGTTTCAGATGATATCCAGTATTGTTTTTCTTCAGCGTATTTAACGCGTCTACGACATCACCATTTGCCTTCACCTAAAATATAAAGATTAAAATTTAAAGAATCCGAATTTTTTCTATTTTTATTTTAATTTTCTTTTCAATGTAAAAAAAAAGTTTGACTTTTATTTATATATACATTATTTTAACAATTAAATCTTATTGAAGCTCGTTAAGTTACTAAACTAAGAAATATATTTACGGTCATCCGAGCCGATCGCAGGATGTTGTGCGGAAAACTGCGTATATATATATATATATATTTGTTCGCGTGTAAAATTTTACGCGCGAGTTTTTTTAATTGAATATCAATTCTTCGACTCCTGGCTGAGGAGTATTTTTTCGCAATATTTTCAAAATTAGTTAGGGGGATAGATGGGATCTCTCATATATGTGATGCAAATCCAGCATCCAATATGAATTTAAGAATTGATATTCAATTCAAAAAACTCGCGCGTAAAAATTTACACGCGAACAAATATATATATATATATACAGGGTGTCCCAGAATTGGTGTAACATCTCTCGTGAACAATTAGAAGGAGTAAAACTGAGTCAAAATATCCTATACCATTTTGCTAGATTTCGCAATAGTTACCGAGATCTTAATTAACAAAGATCAGCGAATAAGCATGCATTGGGCTGTCTTACGCGCGTAAAACAGCTCAGTGCGCTTCGCGCGCTAACAGTGTTACCCATAGCGACATATGGGAGGAGCTAATATAACAGCATATACTATAACATATACATATTAAAATGTAATTGTGCGAAGCGCGCCGGGCTGTCCTACGCGCGTAAGACAGCCCGATGCACGCTTATTCGCTGATCTTTGTTACTTAAAATCTCGGTAACTATTGCGAATCTAGCAAAATGATATAGGACTTATCGACTCAGTTTTACTCCTTCTACCTGTCTACGAGAGATGTTACACCAATTCTGGGACACCCTGTATATACGCAGTTTTCCGCACAACATCGTGCGATCGGCTCGGATGACCGTAAATATATTTCTTAGTTTAATAAATTATTTCATATTTCTATATATTTTTACACAAATCGTGTTTCGCGATTTACCGCCTCGACTCCCAAAACGTTTCCGTGCAAATTGCCATAACGCAGAAGTCGTATTCCGCCCGCATTTGTGGAGACACAACCGCCAATCAAGCAACTACCTTTAGCCCCCAGATCCAAGGGCATCATTAAATTGACCGTTGCCAAGTGATTCTCCAAATTCTGTAAAACGCATCCAGCCTCGCATGTCAGTACACCTGATAACGGAAATATCTTTATAATAATGATATCGTATATACATGTAAAATAATTAGACACTTTTCATTTGAATTTTTTTGAGATATATGCGCTTCTCTTTTTTTGAACACGTCTTCAAATGAATGTTGACAACTGAAAATTATTAACAGGAATCAAATAAGGCCGATACGAGCCATTCGCAGGATGTTTGTGCGGAAACTATGCGTGTACATATATATATATATATATATATATATAAATGTAACGAATTTTACTTGTAAATTTTTACAAGTATTTTTTGAATTGAAATCTCAATTCTTAAAATCATACAGGATGCTAGATTTGCATCTCACATATGGAAAACCCCGGATACCGATTTTTTTTTAAAATTAGTTAGGTGGGTATCCGGGGTTTTCCATATGTGAGATGCAAATCTAGCATCCCGTATGATTTTAAGAATTGAGATTTCAATTCAAAAAATACTTGTAAAAATTTACAAGTAAAATTCGTTACATTTATATATATGGACCGTTTATTTTGAAAGTGGTGTAAGTCCATTTTCTTTTGTTTCGTAAACTAGTTATACATAAAAAAAATTTACATTAAATTAAGCATGAATTACGTGATATCTCATTTTTTTTCAAAAATGGACTTACACCACTTTCAAAATAAACGGTCCATATATATATATATATATGTACACGCATAGTTTCCGCACAAACATCCTGCGAATGGCTCGTATCGGCCTTATTTGATTCCTGTTAACAATTTCACGAGCGTCAAGTCTTTGAAAATTATTACTCACCTGCTAATTCATTCGTATCTAAAATTTTATTCATGAGCTTCATGGAAATGACAATTTCATCGAACACCGGAACGCTACCTCCCACAAGACCGGTGTTACCACTCTGTGGACAAACCGCTAGTTGTTTCTCGTTGCAATATTTTAATATGGCCGACACCTCTTCGGTGGATTTCGGTTTAAGTACCAACCGACTAGTACCTAAAATTATTATATTATTATTTATAAACTTATAGCTAAGTAATTAACTGAAATTTTTCTGTTATGTTTTCTATTATGTTTTTTTTTTTTTTATATTATACATGTTTACAATACTTGCCTCTGACGGTCTTGGGAAAATCGATGTTATAACTCTCGCATTCATCTGGATCTGTGACGACTTGATTGGAACTTAGCAACGAGTCGAAGAAGCGAAGATCCGAGGTTGAAATCGCGGCGTAAGGACCGCGTCGTACTTTATATCTGACCGACGTCAATTCTGGTTTTGCACTACCGGAGTAACATCGTTGCATGAGCGTAAATTTTCTCAAATGACGAACAGCCGCGTCATTGCATCCTCGAAAAAGAATCATCAGCGCTTTTTCCATATTTGTTGTTTCCTGTAAATTTGATGATCCGTCTTGATATACATATATTTTGATAGTCTTTTCTTTTTCAAAAACTTTATACACACATACATAAGGCGATTTTTGGCGATCGTATAGCACGTATACCAAAGTGTACCAAACTATAGTTCGAGTGATTTCAAATTATAGTTTGGTACACTTTGGTATATGCAGTGTTGCGCTTAGATAATTTGAAATAATCTAGATACAGGTTAGATAAAACATATACGTATGTAATCTCAGATAAGATGAAGATAATCCGATTTGATCATATCTAAGTTAAAAGATGATTTAGTTGAGATTTTTATCTAGATAATTTTAAGATATTAAAGAAGTTAGGAAATTAAATAATACATCTCAAGAAAATCTATAGAAAATAATAGTTTTTTCAAATGTGCTATCGGATAAACTGTTTCTTCGAGGTTACAATTATTTGTTATCCCGCACTGAAAAGTCACATTCAGAAAGCGTACTCATTATCTTAGATAATTTACAAAAGATACTACTTTTCTTATCTGAGATACAGATAAAGATGTCATATATTTTAATTATTTAGATAAAGATAAAATAAAACAATTATCACATCTAGATGAACATCTAGACAATTTTATCTAGATAATGGAAAACACTGGGTATATGTACCATACGATCGCCAAAAATCGCCTATACATATACATACAGTAAAACCTCGTTTATCCGGAGAAACCTGGCTGCGGTCCGTTTCATGCTTAAGGGGCACAACTAGTGTAAAACTTTTAAAAAATCGATTTTTTTTTTTTTTGCACTTTTTGATAGTCTATAGCTCCAAGAATAACATACTAAAATTTCATTTTTTTTTAATCGCGCATTTGTCTGTAGTATGTGTCACGTATACTATAGATAAATGTGCGCTTAAGGACGTTCTCCGACTACAGTGGTTAGCAACCTAAATACAGTGGTTAGCAACCTAAAATATCTCTTCTCATGAGTAAGTTTGTACTGCTGTAACAAAGTTAAGTTGTGAGCTATTCAGCACTGCTAAGACCCGCTTACTCTGCGCAGAAGTTCAAAAATAGCTGCAGTACACAATAGCGCACATAAATCCAGCAAAACAAAAAAAAAACCAAAAAAAAAAACAAAAAAAAAGCTATAGTTTGAAAACAAGGGTTGCTTGCCATATTATTCAAAATCGTATTTTAATTAAGACACTCTCCGCTACCACATACTTGTTTTTTAAAAAAATCCTACAAAAATTGTCGTCAGTAACTTTAAAAAACCCCACTTCACAAAGGCTCAGCATAGGAAATCCATGTTAAAAATTGAAACTTAAATCTTCCATATTTTGGAATTTAACATTGCTACCCCTATTATCCAAAAAGGCTACTTATAAATAAGATCATAAACTATGTATATCGCAAATTTAAAGAAAATCCTACAAAAATCAATAATTCGGAGAACGTCCTTAAGCATAAAACAAACCGCAGCCCCTATTTTGTCCGGAACGAATTGAGGTCCAACCTTTATTACACAGAAACGATAGTTCTATAGGAATCGATATCCGTATAATAAAGGTTGGACCTCGGTTATTCAAACTATCTTGTCCCCCGATAAATCAGGGGCTCCACTGTATAAGGTAAAATGTACCAGTATCCGGACGCTTGAGAAATAGTGGCCAAATATGTGCCGATTTAATGTGTAAAAATATCATAAAATTTAAAAAATTTTTATTTTAGTACAAGTTGATACAATCAAGTACTGAAAACTGAAACATTTAAAATTTCTGAATTACATTAGGTGTATTTATTTTAATAAAAATATGAAAATGTGCAAATGTGTCCCAGCAAGCGGACAACCTAAAAGTGCGTGTCCCAGTATTTGAATTAGGTTGTCCCAGTAACCGGACAAATAATACGTACGTTAATTCCTATAAATTCTGTGAGAAAGTTCAGGATGTCTACAGAAAAAGGATTCGTACCAATGCCTTCCGGGTCTGTCATTGAAAGGGTGAAAAGGTTGTTTTTGAAAATAGTTTTAATATAGAAAAACCCCTCAGCAAAATAAAATATCCAGTTTACAATGGTATTTTCTTGTTCTTCAGAGAAAATTGAGGGTGGTCCTTTTTTGCAACATATTAAGCTTCTATTTTTATGTTTATAATAAAGCGTACTTCTAGGTACAGTAGGGAGCATCATATCGTGCGGCTCCAGGGGAAGTATTTCTGGGAAATTTCTTCTTTAGCTGCTCCTATTACTGCGCGCTCTTCTCCTTCGATCTTGGGCCGTTGGCGGAGACCGAAGAAGAACGGTGCGCGATAGTATAAAGCATCCAAAGGAGAAATCCCCGAAAAATATTTCCCCTGGAGCCGCACGATATGGTGCTCCCTACTGTACATTATATATTGTTGACGCTTGTCTAATAGGCATTCCATCTCTCACAGCTTCTACAGCTTTTTGACGTTATCTTGAGTATATTTACTATGTTTTTGCCTTTTTGCCATGCTTGATTTGTAAAAAAATTAAAGTTATAAGAATTAGTTTAATTACACAAATATCTACAAATGTTGAGTTAAGTATGAACTTCTACATTTTTATTATACATTTCATTATATATGTACTTACTTGCTTGTAGAAAATACTTATTATTATTATTTATTATAAAAAACAATTCTGTTTCACAAAAATAATTATTTTTATTATAAAAAAATGCTCGACTACGCTCAACATTTTTATAACAAAAACTTACTTGACAACTAGCGCAACGCATAGTCTATCTATGCATTGAAGAAACTGTTGTATATAATAGTTAATATACTGGGTGTCCGAAAATTACTTTAACATCTCTCGTAGGCAGATAGAAGGAGTAAAACTGAGTCAAAAAGTCCTGAACCATTTTTTTCTATTACATATAATAAAAGAGTAATTATTGAATAAATCAAGCCAATCAGCGCCGACCTTTAGTCGAACGCACGTCAGTAATCGCACGTCTGGTGTGCGTGAGCGCTCCGCGCGGCTCACTGACGTGCTAAAGATCGGCGCTGATTGGCTTGATTTATTCAATAATTACTCCTTTATTATATGTAATAGAAAAAAATGGTTCAGGACTTTTCGACTCTGTTTTACTCCTTCTATCTGCCTACGAGAGATGTTAAAGTAATTGTCGGACACCCTGTATATAATAGTTGATATGTAATAGTTAAACTTAGACTTTTTACAATTAAAAAAATTAATTTTCTTGCAAGTTTGAGCATTTTATGTAAAGTTAAATGTATATATTATTGTATTAATGCATTATTGTAACATATACATAACAAATATAGTGAAATATTTTCTTAACAAACTCGTGAGATTTCTTAGCAAAAGCTTAAGAAATTCTTCAAAACCTGTTATGAATGTGACACATATCAGAAAATAATAATTTATAACTAATAAAAAAGTTTCAATGTTATATAATCATTATTTTAATTTATGTTAATAAATGTTTGTACTTTATAATATTAAGTTTTGTTTTTAATTATATTAAAAATTAAGATACAAAATAACTAAAATTTGCATTACTGTCCGGATATTGGGACATGTCCGGTTACTGGGACATTTACTTTATATTCTCTCTTTACTAGTCAAAATAAAAAAAAGCAAGAAGAGTGCGGTCAGGTACATTCCGTTACGTTACTCTCTACGTAAGATAAATGTCCCAGTATCCGGACGCCTACTGATTTAATGTGTAAAAGTACCGTAAAATTTAAACAATTTTTGTTTTGTTACGTTGATCAATTATTGAAAACTAAAACTTTCTGAATTACGTTAGATGTATTTATTTTAATAAAAAAATACGAAAATATACAAATGTCCCAGTAAGCGGACAACCTAAAAGTGCATTTATAACTAATAATTTTCAATGTTATATAATCATTATTTCACTTTATGTTAATAAATTTTTATACTTTACGATAAAAATTTTTGTTTTTAATTATATTAAAAATTAGGATACAAAATGAATGAAATTTGTATTATTGTCCGGATACCGGGACATGTCCGGATGCTAGGACATTTATCTTATAATCTCGTAACTCCAAGATGCAAATGTTAGTAAGTTTAAAAATTTAAAACTTCACATGTTTTCCTAGTTAAAGGGTTCTTTCAGTTTCAAATTTTAACCTTACTTATATAAATTTTTTTTTTATATTTGGTGACCATAAAGAATAGAAAAAGGAAGTGACGATTTTTAAACGTATAAAAAACAAATCGTGGCGTTAGAGTTGAGGTAGGTCTGGATTAGGTTGAAAAATTGTTGCGTTTTCAACGGAACGCAACCGTTTACATTGCTTTTGCAACTTCTTTATTATTTAATAGAGCTTTTTTTGTGAAGTTTCACAGTAAATCTATAGCCTTATTTTTAAAAAAAAATTGCAAAAGCGTAAACGGTTGCGTTCTACTGAACGTGATCGTAAATGCAAAAATAATTAGGTAAAATTTTGTGCAATTATTTGCGCAGCAATAACAGCAATGTTATTATCGATAAAGCGATAGGAAGTAACACAAACGATTGTCTCACCATCTTCAGGTAATTCGTCAATTTATCAGGTTACCTTTATTATCGATCGAGTAACTTGTCTTTACCACATAAGCAACTCGGCACCTTTCAAATGAAACTATTTTTCTCTGAAATAATCTCCGTTGTCTCTTCTCTTTCTTCATTAGGTTTGTTTTATTTTGAATGAAAACTGACTGCACTAGTTCAGAGTTTATATTTTTCCCTCTAATATGGATAAAAAAAAAAAAAAAAAGATAGACTGTGAACCAGTGCAGGAAAATAAAACAAACTTGTTGTTATATTTTAAAAAAATTGTTTGATATTGTATCTGATTTTTATTACGTACGAAATATGTCATATATATATATGTTCAACATATCTCGCTTCATAAAAAAGATTTGATTTTACAAAATTATCGCAAGCAATGTATCAAAGAAACAACGTCAAGTTATTATAAGTCATGCACTCACAAATAAACTCTAATA